GGTCATACTCAGACCACAAGGGCCAAAACGACACATGAGGCTGTACAGAATCACAGAATTATTTAGGCTGATAAAGGCCTCTGAGATCATCAAGTCCAACCTTCAACCAATCACCATCCTGTCAACTGGACCGTGGCACCAAGTGCCACATCCAGTCATTTCTTGAACTCCTCCAAGGATGTTGACTCCACTGCTTCCCTGGGCAATCCGTTCCAATGCTTAACCACCAGTTCTGTAAGCACTGACAGAGAAAGCAAGAGCTCTGCTGGACAAGTGTCTCCAAACCTCAGGAGACTCCAAAGCTTGGCAATTGCTGCCGAGTTTTAGCCATTGTACAAATGGCACAAATCTGCTTTATATTTGTGAGCAATTCCTGAGGTTATAGAGTAACTGTGTACTGTGATTCCAAAGACATATATCACAGTGCATACAGGACACCCTGGAAAGAATCCTGGCACACATACAGGAGTCAGACACCCAGTGCAGTATGTCCTGCTGTCTATAGGCACAGAGTTCAGCCTCGACGGACACAACAGCCACAGTGCTCGCAGCAGTTCACAGAATCACAGGATGGGTAAGGTTGGAAGGGATCACAGTGGGTCGGCTTGTCTGACCTCCCGGCTCAAGCAGGGCCATCCTAAAGCACATTGCACAGGATTGCATCCAGAGGATTCCCGAATATCTCCAGAAAGGGAGATTCCACAACCACTCTGGGCAACCTGTACCAGTGCTCAGTTACCCGCACAGTAAAGCAATTCTTCCTCCTATTTAGGTGGAACTTCCTGGGCATCAGTTTCTGCCCATTGCCTCTCATCTTGTTCTTGGCACCACCGAGAAGAGCCTGGCTCCATCTCCTTGGCACCCATCCTATAGATACTTATACACTTTAATGAGGGCCCCTCTCAGTCATCTCTTCCCACAGCTGAACAGGCCCAGCTTCCTCAGCTTTTCCTCATAAGAAGATGCTCCACTCTCCCAGTCATCCTTGTTGCACTCCACTGTACCCGCTCCAGGAGCTCCATGTCTCTCTTGTACTGAGGAGCCCAGAACTGGACACAGCACTCCAGATGTGGCCTCACCAGGGCTGAGGGGCAGGATCACCTTCCTCGCCCTGCTGGCAATGCTCCTCCTAATGCACCCCAGGACACAATTGGCCTTCTTGGCCACAAGGGCACGCTGCTGGCTCACGGGCAGCTTGTTGTCCACCAGGGCCCGCAGGTCCGACATACATCCCCCCTAGGGGCCGTGGCCACACACAGCGGGGTCCCGGCCACCCCTTCCCGGGCCCCAGACGCCGCGCGCCCTCCCGCCGGCAGGAGGCGCGCTCCCTCCCGCGCTGCGCGCCCCCGCGGCACCCCGCCCCCGGCGCGTCCCCGCGCCGCTCCCCGCGCGGCGGCGGCCGGGGCCGCGCGCCTGTCCCCGCACTCATGGCCGGCGTGATCCGGCGGCTGGATGAGGCCGTGGTGAACCGCATCGCGGCCGGCGAGGTCATCCAGAGGCCGGCCAACGCCATCAAGGAGATGATCGAGAACTGGTAACGCGGGGCGTGCCCCCGGCGCGGGCCGGCCGTGCGTCGCGGCGTGTAGCGAGGGGCGGGCGTGGGCTCGGGTGCTGAGGAGGGCAGTCCTGTGTGTGCCCGTACTGAGCGCACGGCAGGGCAGTGTTCGCGTTGTGTTCGGTGTGCTTTGTTCTTGTTTGAGAAACTTATGAATCCTTGGCTTTCGGTGCCAAGTTAGTAATTCATAGGATCATTTAGGGCGGAAAAGACCACTAAGATCACTGAGTCAAACCATTAACCTAACACTGCCGAGTCCACCACTAAACCATGTCCCTAAGCAGCACGTCTACACGTCTTTTGAATACCTCCAGGGGTGGTGACTCCACCCCTTCCCTGGGCAGCCTGTTCCAATGCTTGGCATCCCTTTCCGTGAAGACATTTGTCCTAATATCCAATCTAAACCTCTCCTGGTCCAACTTGAGGCCCTTTCCTCTTGTCCTATTGCTTGTTCCTTGAGAGGAGAGACCAACCCCCAACTTGTCGTAACCTCCCTTCAAGTCGAGAGTGATAAGATCTGCCTTGAGCCTCTGTTTCTCCAGGCTAAACAACTCCAGCTCCCTTAGCTGCTCCTCATTACACTTGTGCTCCAGACTCTTCACCAGCTCCGTTGTTCTTCTCTGGACTTGCTCCAGCACCTTAATGTCCTTGTATTGAAGGGCCCAGAATGGACACAGTACTTGAGGTGCGGCTTCACCAGTGCCAAATAGAGAGGGACAATCACTTCCCTGATCCTGCTAGCCACACTATTCCTGATACAAGCCAGGATGACATTGGTCTTCTTGGTCACCTGGGCAAGCTCGTGTTCAGCCGGCTGTTGACCAGCACTCTCAGGTCCTTTTCCAACAGGCCTCCAGCCACTCTTCCCTTGGCCTGTAGCGCTGTCTGGGCTTGCTGTGGCCCAAGTGCAGGATCCAGCACTTGGCCTTATTGAACCTCATAGGATTGGCCTTGGCCCATTGATCCATATCCCTCTGTAGAGGCTTCCTGCCCTCCAGAAGATCAACACTCCCACCCAACTTGGTGTCATCTGCAAACTGACTAAGGGTACACTCAATCCCCTTGTCCAGATCATATATAAAAATATTAAACAGAACTCTGTCTGGTGTAGTGAGCTGTATCAGCTGTGTGAAAACAAGCAGCAGATTCCGCAGTAGGTTTCAGTAGTGGGGAGAGAAGATCTGTGTATTGGCCTAGGTACCTCCTTAGTTTTTTAATTTCTGAAAGTTCTTCATAAGTATTGTGGATGATGATTTAGAATTATGTATCACTGTAGTTAAAAAGGAAGGAGACAGTAAAGATTCACACGTAACAGAATGAATTCCAGTATGAGTGATGAGTAGAAACAAATTATCATTTGTATGAGAAAAAATAAATTTTAAATCGTCGTGTAGTCCTTTGTTCTTTAGAATGCTTTCTTGGTTTCTGCAGTTTGGATGCTAAATCTACAAGTATCCAGGTAATAGTTAAAGAAGGTGGTTTGAAGCTCATCCAGGTCCAAGATAACGGCTGTGGTATCAGAGTAAGTAAATAAACTTGACAGCTGTATGCTGGTGTTTAATATGACCTTTAAAAATTATTTCAAGTTATAAATGTTTTTGATCCTGAAAAACTTGCAAAGTGACTATTGCTTGTCTCTTTCCCATAGAAAGAAGATCTGAACATTGTATGTGAGAGATTTACTACTAGTAAACTGCAAAAATTTGAAGATTTGGCTAGTATTTCTACATATGGTTTTAGGGGCGAGGTGAGCTCTTCATCAAGGTTTTGAAACTGTTCATTGTTGCTATCTTGCTGTAGTGGGGTGTACTATCTCATTCCCAGTACTCTTAACAGAAGCTTCTGTTTTCCAAGAGTCTGCCATGTGAATATAGTTCAAAATACATTTTTGTGTCTTTCAATATTGGATGGATGCCTAGGGAGACGTATATATTCTTCTTGTTTTCTGGAGTAAGATTTTTTTTTTGAAGTAAAACAAGGCTTCTTTTGTCAAATGCTGCAGGTAAAAGGCAATGAAAAATCTGAGTGAAAGGTGACTCTTTGATGCCAGACATTTGTTCTAAAACCACACTTAAAATTAGATGTTTGAAATGTACATTTGTCTTCCTTTGCTTTTGCTATTAAATAAAGTTATTATCAGATATACTCTCAGATATACGAGTTCTTCATATTCTCATAGGCTGTATCTAAGCTTCTCTGGAAGAACAGTCATGGATGAGTTTAGCTTTCCATGCCAGTTGAACAACAAGATATATACCTGTGCTCAGATACATAGATCCTTGCATGCTCCAGAGGGTAGGCTGCATAAGTCCTCTCCTCACACACTTGCAACATAATAATTTCCACAGCCAGTGGAATCTGGTCCTGAGGCTGGTTGCATCTGTGCAGACTTGTCCATTGAGTTTTCCAGGAAAACCATTGTTACCTAACTCTGTAGTATTACCTACAGTCAAGATAAGAACTTGGGTCAAGATGAAGAAATAAGAGCTAAAACCTTCCAGCTGTTTTTTGTTAATATGGAAGAAAGAAAAGTGCCCAACTGTAATAAATTTGCAAATTTCTTTTAGTTATGTTACATGGTTAACCACTTGCACTTTAAGAGGTAACGAAATGTTAGAAAGGCCAGAAGAAGGTCTCCAGATAAAAGTCAGCAGTACAGGTTTTAAAGTTTGTTAAAGCTTTACTGACCTGCAATTTTCTTTTAAGGTTTTTTATTAATTACTTGCAAGTGGCATATCAAAATTTAGCCACCCTGTTTAAAGTGTGTACACACCTCAGTGTTCTCCAGAGCAAGGTTTACAAATATGCTTTCTCCTTTCCTAGGCATTGGCGAGCATCAGTCATGTTGCCCATGTTACAGTAACAACTAAAACAGCTGATGCTAAGTGTGCATTCAGGTATGCTGCCTATGATCCATGTGACTTCTACTGCATGGAATAACAAAGACACGTATCTCTTTTGAGTGCTTTTATTAAGGAGGAGGGTAGAGTAAGGGTAGTTACAAAAAAGAATGTGAGAAAACATGGTTTGAGTGATTTTTTTTTCCAAATTGTAAAGGTAAGCTTTAGCTAAACAATGTATTTTAAAAGTTGGGGTTGGGGGTCAGGGAATCTTAAAGGGGATTCTACTTCAGCAGCTAATGTAGGATAAACACTTGTCTTTACCTCCATTTCAGGATAAAATTTCACAATTTGTATGAAACTATGCCTCTGTATAACTTGCTGAAAGACCTACATAGGTCGGAAATCTCCTATGCTCCAAGTCCTGTTACAGTCAGAATGGAACTGATCTTACAGTAAAGTCAAGAATTTCTTGTTACTATAACGGGAGTGTAAAGTCTAGTGGAAGAATTGTTATTAGGCCGTGTCTCATTTTCTGAAGAAAGATAGAATGCAATAGTCCTACCTTTACAGGAAAAGTCTCAGTAATACAATTTAAATATGCATGTGTCATTATCTGCCCCTTTTCCGCTTCTATTATTCCCACTCCCCCACTGCCCCTCTGGCTCTTAAAATCAATGAAAACAGTTTTCCTCTAGCAGAAATGTGGGGGGAGGGATTGATTTTCAATGGCCCAAATTCTTTGCTGGGAGGAGTGTGATGATAATGGGATTTCTTTTGTCTTATTCCATTGTCATCATCTGTCTGTGTCTGCCCTCCTCTAAATCTAGATGTTTGACAACTTTTTATTTTCTGCCTAGAGCTACTTACAGTGATGGAAAAATTAAAGCCCCTCCGAAACCCTGTGCTGGAAACCAAGGAACTCAGATCACAGTAGGCTTTGTGCCCGTTTTCTCTTGTCTCTTTTCTCTTCCCTGGTGGCTGGGCTTGCACCAATTTTGTTGTAAGATATGTGACAGTATCACCTTGTAAAATATGTTGTTTGGTTTTGTTGGGTTTTTGGTCTTGTTTTCTTCACCAAAGGCAGCAAGGTAAATTTCAGAAGATCCTGTTTTTTTTTTTCCTTCTGAGGACAGCATAGTCATTTACTATCAAAAATATTTCATAGTCTGTCTGGACTGCTGAAAACCTCAATGGATAGTTAGGGTTTACAAAAAGCTGGGAATATGGAGAGTGGTCTACACTGTGTGAACCACAGTGAGAAGATGAGGGCTGGCGCAGGAAACTGCAAAACCACTGTTTTCCAGTCATAGCTTTGTTTTCCAGTCATATCTTTCATATATCATAGCAAGACTTGAATGTGAGTGGGGATTAGGATTGGGATTAGGATTATGAAGAATAAGGAGATCAGATTGGGAAGGAGTATCCATTTTGCACAGCGTGCGGTGAGAAGGGGAAGTCTGGCCTAGGAGTCTGCAGATGTGTCTCTGCTGTGGGAGCATACACCCAGCAAGCTTCACGTGTCAATGTTTAGGATAATGTGTCTGAAAAAGAAGCTGGACTTCAAATTTCTGCCTTTCTCAGTATAGCAGAAAAATGATTTGCATGTTGTTTAAATAAATAGTGAAAATGTACAGTTTAAGTTGCTGTTCTAATTACATTAACAGCCTTGAGTGCAGCAACTGTTTTAGCATTTCATTAAAACACGGTGTAATCAGGGAATCCGTTGTCATCTTTGGTAGAAGGTATATAACTTTCACTGAAAAGGGAGCTGTAGAGTTGTTACTGGTTAAAATCCTGATGTACCAAAATACTTGAAAGAATGTGTTTCTCTTGATTTGCATTTTGTTAGGTGAATATAGAAGGTAAGGAATAAATTGAATGTTGATCCTTCATAAACTAAAGTATTCTCATAAAATTTATATATAAAAAAATTAATAAGATGGATTTAGATTAACTATATAGTAAGAGAGGATTTTTGAAATTATTTGTAATTGTGATCTTTCCCTCTGTAGGTTGAAGATCTCTTTTACAATGTAAATACAAGGAGAAAAGCTTTGAAAAACCCAAATGAAGAATATGCAAAAATACTAGAAGTTGTTAGCAGGTAAACTAAAATAGGAAGCTCCAATTTTGTATACTCCTATGGCAGAAGTATGGGGTTTTTCAGAGGGACTGGCAGGTGTGTGTTTGGTGTAATTTTTTTTTTGTTGTTGTTGGTTTTGTTGTTAGGCTTTTTTTAAACTATTTGTTAGTGTGCAGTGTCAGATAACAGTCCATCCAATTTGATATGAAAAATTCAGAGGAGAAACAATGTATTCTATCCGTGACTATTAATTATTTGTAAGAATTCCAGCAAAGAAATGGTGATAGACTTGAACTCTAAATGCATTTGGGCTGAATAGAATCCATGTAAAAACTGCACAGGAGCATTGAGATTTGGCGAAATTCAAAATAGCTGAATGGCAATTTCACATCCACAAAAAAGAGTAATATCACTTTACCTACTGGATGTTCCCTTCCTGGGCCCCTTGGTTGCATTTTTTGCCATGTGCAGAGGCTTTGCAATCCGTGTCTACACAATCTAAACAAAAGAACTGCTTCACAGTTTCAGAAAACACAAAAGGTAGGAAAGAGTAGCAAGACTGTGCACCAGGAGTTAGCCTGTTTCCTGAATGAGCTGTTTAAGAGTCTTTACTGGTCAGGCAGACCAGTCAGGAGGTGGAAAATCAGGTCCTGCTGTTCTGTGGAAAAGCATAATCTAAAGTCTTGCTGAGGTACAGGCTTCCAGCTCACTGGTATTTTGTTTTTCTCATTAGGATTTTTCTATTATTTAATTTTGTTTTTTTTTTCTCTTGAATTTTTGAATTCCCAGTCGCAGTCTATTCTCTGTCTGCATTTTTACATTTCTCATCTTGCAAGGTTCTGTGGTGTGTTTTTTTCTCACGATGCAGTAACTTCCCTAAAAGTTTGAGCCAAGGTTTTGCAGCTGTAGTGTATCAGAACTCAGCCCTGGGATCACAGGCAGCTGAACCATCTGGGTAGGGGAAGTTAGGAGGGCAAGCTAGCCATTATTCAGATCCTTCTCCATAGTAGTTGAGACTTGAGTCTGTTATATTGAGGACATTTTGCTGGTTTTATTTAGTTAAACCTATGAAGTGAAACTGAACTAACCAGGTCTATAGAAGTTGATCCTTTATTTTGAAGAATAAGCTAATCTGATCCTTGAATTTCATATGGTTACAGGTGAGCTATAAATAGAAGACAGTTAATTTTTATAGTAGTTCAGTCTACAAAAGCTCATTTTGGCTCAAATAGCATTACTGTCTAATAGGAAGTGAAATTGCTTGTGCCCATTACTAGCTGCTTTTCAGCAATCAGGGCAAATAATCTTTTCTTTCACATACTGCAGACTTATGTTTACCTGTTTTTCAGGTATGCCATCCATAACTCAGGCATCAGCTTTTCAGTTAAAAAGGTGTGTAGATAAAGTCTTTATAACTTGACTGTGTGTCTGTGTATGTATACATAATATGTATATTTGAAAATTTGCACTGCATCTTTTGCAACAGGAGTAGCACACAGAGCCTTCCCATGTACTAAAATGTTGAACTGTACATTGGTGCAGTTTGGATAGAAAGCACATCAGTTAGAAGTAAAAAAGAAAAGTTTGTCAGGAGTTTGAAATTTTCTAGGTGGTCAATGTTATGTTTTGGTTTAGCTTTATGAGCTGTTTCAGCATCTCTTGAGAGTCTAATTACAAATTACTGAATGAAAGAGGATGGAGTAGATTGCCTTTGTTCTGTGGTATTGTTGATAATTATTTACTGAACTGCGTGTGTTCCTCATTTTCCAAGATGGAGTTACTGGCCTGAATGGGTCTGATGTGCTCTAGCAAATCTTGTAAACCCGTGCCACTTACCATCTATTGCCTTTTTAAGCATAAATAAGTAAATAAGAATATGAAAGCATTATTATGATGTTATGTTTTATGTTCCATGCCTTTGTTTTAGAAATGCTATTGTTTAGTTTAAAGTATTTCTAAAACTTCAGCCAGAAATGTGAATTGATTGATACTCATTTTTGTTCTCTTTAGCAAGGTGATACCGTGTCAGATGTTAGAACCCTATCCAACGCCTCAACAGTGGACAACATTAGGTCCATCTTTGGAAATGCTGTTAGCAGGTATGTTGATGTCCAGTTTACTTTTGACATAAAGTTTTCTAGTGAATCACCCTCCCTTTCTCTTTTTAAGACCATGGGTTGTGCTAACTTTCCTTGTTTCCTGCGAGGTGAATTGCAGAGAAGAGAGAGTGCTGCAATAAGAGAGCTCTCCCTTCTCTGGAAGAATATGTAGCTTTTATTTCTGTACTGAAGGGAAGAGGGAAGTCACAAAGTCGTTCCTTTAATGCACAAAAAGGGAACCATCTGCTTGTAACTTTCTGCATGCTCGTGCAAAACCAGCAAGCTGAACCTGTTTTCTCTACAAGTTCCTAGGCTCTTCCTGTGCCTTGAAAATCTTATTGCTTCTTACCAGTCTGCTATCTGATAAATTTTAAAGCTACTCACCGTAGTTTTTCTAAAATCTTATGGTTTCTTATTTTGAGAAAAGCTGCATTAGCTAAGGCTGTGTAAATCAGACAGAAAAGTTAAAACCAAATAAAACCAATCATCTTCACAAGACATATCTGCCACTTTAGGAAAAAATCTCTCTTTCACATTCAGCTGTGAAGAGTTCATTGAACGGATTTGTCCCACAAATACTTGGGTGTCACTTTGATTCTGTTACCAAAGTCACACAGATATAATGAATGTAACTTTTAATGGAAGCACCTTTAGGAAGCACAGCAAATAGAGAGGCTGGTTAGTATTAAAGTTCGTGGTGTTGTTTTTATTTCTTTGTTATGCATTTGTTTTTATCTACTACGGATGCTCTTTTGATACAATTTTTCCTTTATACAGTTCAGTACAGTCCATGTCAACTTAAATGCTTTGGTCATTTGTTTTCAAGCAAAACTTTTATTTTGCCCAGTTGAAAATGATGTTATTTTGACTTAAAAATGAACACATTGATAAAAATCAATGATAAAAATGGTGCTCAGTATATATTGAGGTTGAATTGAAAATAGGTAGCCCTTAAACCTTTTCTGTGTTAAATTTGGAAGTTGGCATAATGCCTTGTTAGAGAGTTGTGCTCACAAACCACCAAAGTGGATTTCCTTAACTAATGAATCATGAAAATTATTAAAACTGTTATGAAAATAACTAATGTTAGAATCTGTGTGCATGAGAAAGAGAAAAGTTTTCACATTTTAATGACTTCTTAACAGCTCATCAAGAAATACTAGATTACAAAAGCAGACGGAGAAGTCCAAGAAAAAAACGTGTTCTTCCCTGGCTGCTGACAATTTTGAAGTGTCCTTGTCACTGTCAATGACTTACACAGAGAAATGCATATTAGAATTATCAATAAATTATAATATTATGAATACTGTGATATGGTATTAAAAAGAAAATAGGAGTAGTTTTACAGACTCTAATCATACAACATTACTAGTTTACATTTACTTAGGAAGAAGAAACAATGCAGTTCAGGTTAAATAATTGTTGTGGCCTAGCAATGAATGTTTGAATTCTCAAATAATTTTAATGTTTTCATTACTGTGATATAACTAGAATATAGGTCAGTATATCGCTACTTGTGAGTACTGTTAGAAATTTGCATCAACAGAAGAATTAATTTTTTGTTTGTTTCTGTCAAACTTAATAGGGAACTGATAGAAGTGGGCTGTGAAGATGCAAATCTGGCCTTTAAAATGAAAGGTTACATCACGAATGCAAACTACTCTGTGAAGAAATGTATATTTTTACTCTTCATAAACCGTAAGTTTGAAAAAAAAAGGCAGCATTTTGTACAGTTGTATGTTGCTTACATAATCATAAGGACAAAACTTTCTGCAGACCTACAAAATGTATAAGCCTTCTTAAACACGTTTTGAAGAATAAGTGTTTCACTTACTTGTAGATCTTAAAATGTTTTTAGTTTTGTAATGTGCATCATGCTTTGCACTCTAAATAATGAAAGCAGCTAAAACTGGGCCTAAAGAAACTTAAGCTTTGGAGTATCAAGGTAATGATTGTATCCTGCTGACTTACACAGAGTGATCTCTTCATTCTGTAACAACACTGACCTGAGATGCAAGAAACCTTGACTGTATTGAAATAATAAAAAGGTAGTTGGGTTATTTTGGTATTTGTGGAAAAAAATCTTGTAAAACACACTAAGACAATACTGTCTATTCCTGGTTTTATATGAAGAATAAATAGGCCTCGGGGGAAAAATGGGTATAACAGATACCCTTTGAAGATACCAAGCATGAAGGTGTTGGTCTGAAGGAGTGGTTGGGCGCTTTGCAGTGTATTTCAGCCGGGCTCTTTGGAAATAGCCTTCTGTTCTGTGTTTCAGATCGGTTGGTAGAGTCAGCCGCTTTGCGGAAAGCCATAGAAACTGTGTACGCTGCTTATTTGCCAAAAAGTACCCATCCATTCCTATACTTAAGGTAAAGTAATAGGAAGAAGTAGCCTGTTAATACCATCTTGTAGGATATAGCTAGGCTGAGTAGGTTTAGAAAAACACTTCTGTTCCTGATAATAATGTTAAGCACTGCACTGAGGTAATTAATCACCAGACAGGAGATAATTAAATCACATTAAATCTTAAGAAGACAGACCTTATTTTTAGAAGTAGTGAATGTCTGTAACTTCAGCTGAAGTCCTTTCATATTAATTCGTGAGACACTGCAAGTAAAAGATATTTCTAAAAAAGGTTTTTGTAGTTATAAAATAGAGAAATTGGTTTAAGCTTATTGGTTTAAGCTGATTTTGGTGAGTTTGGAGTAGAGTCCTTCAGATTAATTATTTTTTAATGTACTAAACAAATCTGACTGTAACGTAACTTTAGCAGGGTTCAGAATCTTTTTGACTTCTTTGCACAGAGTAATGCCCCTAAGCTGGAGAAATTTTGTACTGAACCAATTTGTGCTCTCTCTGCCATCCATGGGATATTTTAGGTTAACTTCTTTTAAAATGTTTTTCAGTCTGGAAATAGCTCCCCAAAATGTAGATGTGAACGTGCACCCTACAAAACATGAAGTCCATTTTCTTCATGAAGACAGTATTCTAGAGCGTGTGCAACAGCATGTAGAGAGCAAGTTATTGGGCTCTAATTCTTCAAGGATGTACTTCACTCAGGTGAGAACATATGTGAAGTGACTGCAGCTCTGCACTATTTTAACCATCAGGGATACATTTACTCTGTTCAATAGTACAGTCTGTGCAGGGATTGGTAATCATCAGCGTTCTACTGGTACCTTGAGATCTTTGCTCTCTATTTCAGGGATGAAATTGCTTTAGTGTACCAATGTTAACAATGAAGCAAAAGAGAGAAAAAAACTCTGAAAACATTTTAAATACTTTTATGTCAAGTACCTGACCAGTCTTCTTGATTTTGCAAGTATGTTGGCCTTCACATGTGGTAAATTGGTTTTTTATTCTGCCCTGGTTTATGTGAAGATGTGACTGAGGAAACTGTTCTGTGTATTTGACAACACTTTTAATCTGACCAGAAAAAAATCAGGAAGATTTTCTAATCTCTCTTTATGTAGAGCATAGCATAAGAATTACAATAATTTTTTTTCCTTTGAGACAAAAGAATGTTAACTAATGATTTTAACTGCTAAGATGATGACATTCACTCTATATGGATAGCAGATGCAAAGCTGGTGGCCTGTTTAGGCACTTGACACTGTGTTTTTGGGGTTTCAAACTTGCCTCTGAGCAGTAAGATACTGTGAGAAGTGTGGCTGATCTCTCTGGTTTTGTTTTCTTTTTTTTCTTGCTGTTCAATCTATTTGCTTCCTCGTATCTGTCTGAATGAAGACACTGCTTCCAGGGGCTGACTCTTCTTCCAGTGAGGTTGCAAAATCAGCAGCCAACTCTTCTGGGGTTACCAAAGGAACCAGTGATAAAGTTTACGCACATCAGATGGTCCGCACTGATTCCCGAGAGCAGAAATTGGATGCTTTTCTTCAGCCAGTGAACAACCCCCCAAATACAGGCCCCACTGAAGTGACAACAGAGGTTGATGCAGGACCTCCAGAGGGTGCAAGCAGACCACAGGATGCTGAAATGGAAGAAGTCAGTGATCTGGTTGAAATGGCTGATGTTCAGGAGGACATAGGGAAGCCTGGAGGGCTGAGTGAGAGTGGGCACTTGTCTCGCGAGACAGTACCTTCTCGGTAAGTCTCATCTTTCCTGAGGTGGTGCAAGGCTACCTATTTATTTCATAGCATGGCCCTGAAACTGTAGGTTTTCTGATCTCTTTGGACTTCTGCTTTTCCAGAAGGGAAAAAATTTCCTAGAATAACTCTTCATGACAAGTTGTTGGGAAATTAAACTTAATCTGTGAATTGTAAATTACATAATTTGTGATAAATTTTGTAACTGGAATGGGATTTCCATTCATACTGAAAGGCAGGAAGCAGTATAAATAATGACATCAGTTTAGGGATGTCATACTGGTCTGTCTCTCTTTGGAGGCCCCTCATCCTACTACATGAGAAACTACATCACTGAATTTTGCAGAGATTAACCTAGTAAAGATAAAAGTGCAGCTCCTGCAGGAGCAGTTACAAGAGGCAAAAGTCATCTGATGGAATCTGATTTCCCCCTCCCAGTACTACAGAGAAATTATCATGAAAAAAAATCATTAGAAATACCGACATTTTTTCAATGTGTCCTTTAGAGGCCAGTTTGCTTGGTGCTTAAACAATTGTCTGATGTGATTGGTATTAGTGTGTCATAAATTCTCTTAAAATTCTGAACTACCTTTTCCTAAGAGATTATGCCTTGGAAGCAAAATAAAATAGTCTGTCACTCTGGGAATCTCTGGGAAACTGTCTACATTTCTTGTGTTAATGTACAGCATGTGAATTGAGCATCCTTTCTGTTGCTGTGTTTTGCCTAAGTGATAGGAGAATTGACCGAATTCCTTTTGGTTTGCTATTGCAGAAAGAGACCACGGGAAGACACAGACATAGAAATGGAGGAAGATGACACCACAAAGGACATGACTGCTGCCTGCACCCCTAGAAGAAGAATTATCAATTTGACTAGTGTATTGACTCTCCAGGAGGAAATCAGTAACCAGGGACATGCAAGTAAGCAAGCCTTTTGCTTCCCAAGATTATTTTTATTTCAGCAACTCCTTATGGTTGTTTGAACCGCTGAGGAAAAAGGTATTTAAAGGGAGGCTCAGTCAGTTCACTGTGCTGCTAAGCAAGCTTTTAACAAAAGCTTTGGCTTTTCATTTTCATTTGTATCTGTCCCACTTACATGAAATGATGAAACTGATAAAATATTATTCTCTTTTCTGCTAAGAATTGTTATTGTAATAAATAACTTTTTTATAAATTACTAAAAGTCTTGAACTTTAAAAAGCATGTACTTACACTTTACTTGTGCTTCAGAAAATGTTTTGCAGAAGACTGGTAATTCTGAGCCAGTAATTCCATATCTGATAGTCACTGCTTAAATGCTGAAATCAGAGTTGTCCCTGAGCCATAAAATTTCCAAAAATGTCTCAAAATACACAGTAAAACTTGTGAAGCTCCCTGAAGTTGTGTCTTGCCTTCACATGTGTAAGAAATACCTATGAGACTTCGGAAAGAAAGAAATCTCTTCTCACAATGTTACCTTTTCTGGTGGAATTAGGGTAGTGTAGTGCTTTGTACATGCTGTGACTGCAATGCTGAGCTTCTGTAACGAAGCTGCTCCCAAGGATGGCAACCAGTGAATTTTCTTTGTGGAATGCCTAAAATGAACTCTTTTATGGAATCTGACTTCTCATATCTTTCCCAGCCTTCTCATTTATATATACTAAAACTTACTTAATGAGAGAAAAATAAAAAAATTATGACAAAAAATAAATTATGGACCTATTCTAACACATTTTCAGAATTTAATCTGACAATACTAGATTGTGTTGCAAAGCTGGTTTAAATCTGCAATTTTCTTTGAAGTTTGTCAGTTCTCCCTCACTAATCTCCTATGACTGGAAATTAATTTTGGAAGGCTATTCAAACACAAGGATTTTATTTTTTAATTTGCATTTGTAGTTTAACTGTTATATAACTGTTCTCATAGATGCTTTAATAGTATGAGTGTGCATGGAAATAATTAATATTTCAAAACGTGAATAATTGGTAGGACAGGCCTATAAGAAGAAGCAGGATTATAGTAGTGACTGAACAATAATCTGAGACTTTAATGCTAAAAAGACACCACTCAACTGAATAAATGAGAGCAGGGTTGCAAATCCTGAATTTATGTAAAATTATGAAATTATATCCTTTTTGTTTTTTCCACACTCCTGTGTTGTTTCAGAACTTCAGGAGATGCTGCGTGATCACTCCTTTGTTGGCTGTGTCAGTCCACAGTGGGCTCTGGCCCAATATCAGACAAAACTGTACCTTCTCAATACAACAAAACTCAGGTAAAGAAGCTGTTAGACTTGTTGGCAGATGAAATAAGTACCAATTACGAAGCTAATTAGAAGAAGGAAGGAAATGAGAGGAAAAACAACACTGTTCGCTTGTTGACTATCCTAAAAGTCATGAGGCTAAAGATTTAAGCATTCAGTTCAGAACAGTGGAAGGAATTCTGGCCCACGTTGGAGAAGTTTCAGGGAATCAGTGTAATTAAAATGCCAGCTACTGTATTGTGTGCTCATAGAGAGTGGGAAGGAAAAGGCTTTTTCTTGCTTTATGATCATCTGTCTCCGTGATCTATGATCATTATCATGATCTGATTCAGGATCATCTACAGCACATTGTATAAAGATGAGCAAGCAGAAGCTTCAGAAAAGTCCTGTAAAACATTGTATCCAGTTGGATTAAGAGTATCTGCAGGACATGATTGTAACACAAAGTTTGTAATTTTGCATGTGCAGCCTTACAGGGCCAGCTACATAAATTTTGTAACAAATCAGAAAATATACTTGAGATACACATGTCTATCAGTTTCCCAGCTCCTGTGCATTTCTTGCAGTGCAACAAAGGAGTAAAGAAGTTGAAATATAAGTTATCAGGGAATAAATTGATATTGGTTGGATGCTTCAGTATGTAACATTTCTGCACCGGTGTGGCTGATAATGTCAGAAACCAAGAAATAGATTTAACTGTAAATATCTAGATAGTACATGTGAATCTTTAAACTCTTTAGTTAAAGCAAGATATTTATTAATATGACTGGATATGTACATCTTAAGTTTCTGGGATGATTCTTACTTTCCCTTCTTAATTATGGTAACTTGAAGATATGTGATCCTGTCCATACAACTAATTTTTCTGCTTCAATTCAGCCAAGAACTCTTCTACCAGATACTTATTTATGACTTTGCAAACTTCGGAGTCTTAAGGTTATCTGTAAGTATAATTTTACATTACATTCTATATAACAAGTTTTTTTTAAAGAAGTCTGTCCTGTCAGACAAATGCATAGTTTTGGTTGCAGTCAGGTTGGTTATTGTCCACTACAAGAGCGTTGTTTTGTTTCTTTTACGGTAAGAACAGAATGTAGAATACTCTTAATTTTTTGTGTCTTCTACTGTTAAATTGTCATCCTGGCTGCTTGTTATTAGTGCCAGTTGTAGATATTCACCAAGTTTTGCTGTTGCTCATTACATTAGGACAAATAATTAATTTGAATACACAATCTACAGAAATATAGTGTTGATTGCCAGTATTTATCCTGCAAATATTGCAGTACTTGGCAGGATTGGGGACTGCACAGAACTATCATAAAGAAATTAAAACCTTTTTAGACTGGTTATGATAAACAGAACTGTTTGTTCTGCAGGGCAGATGTGCCATATTGCAATTAGTTATTATGTGAAGAAAGAAGCTATAGATTTCCAATAGACCATGCTGTTTGTTAACAGAAGTTTTGCCTTCTCCATTTTTAGGAGCCAGCTCCTTTATATGAACTTTCAATGCTTGCTTTAGAGGATCCTGAAAGTGGCTGGACGGAAGAAGATGGCCCAAAAGAAGGGCTTGCTGAGTACATTGTGGAGTTTCTGAAACAGAAGATTGAGATGTTGAAGGATTATTTTTCTCTTGAAATTGATGAGGTGACTCCTGCTATAGTAATAGACAGTAAGAATGGTGAACTTGGCAGTGTTAGGCTTGCAGTTGGACTTGATTTTAAAGGTCTTTTCCAACCTAAATGATTCCATGATTTTACATTTTGGTAACAGATAACTGCAATAGTTGTTTGCAATGCTTAGTATCACTAAGGGGCCTCTGGTGGTCTAGTGGTTA